AGAGAGGGAATTGAGAAAGAAAAGAGAAAGAAAGGTAACAAGGGGAAGGAAAAAAGAGGGAATGGAGAAAGAAAGGTAACAAGGAGAAGGAAAAGCGAGGGAAAGGAGAAGGAAAAGAGAAAGAAAGGTAACAAGGAGAAGGAAAAGAGAGGGAGTGGAGAAAGAAAAGAGAAAGAAAGGTAACAAGGGGAAGGAAAAAAGAGGGAATGGAGAAAGAAAGGTAACAAGGAGAAGGAAAAGAGAGGGAAAGGAGAAAGAAAAGAGAAAGAAAGGTAGCAAGGAGAAGGAAAAGAGAGGGAATGGAGAAAGAAAAAGAGAAAGAAAGGAAAAGAGGGGGAATGGAGAAAGAAAAGAGAAAGAAAGGTAACAAGGAGAAAGAAAAGAGAAAGAAAGGTAAGAAGGAGAAGGAAAGGAGAGGGAATGGAGAAAGAAAAGAGAAAGAAAGGTAACAAGGGGAAGGAAAAAAGAGGGGAAGAGAAAGAAAGGTAACAAGGAGAAAGGAAAAGAGAGGGAGTGGAGAAGAAAGAGAGAAAGGTAAGAATGAGAAGGAAAGAGAGGGATTGAGAAAAAGAAAGAGAAAGAAAGGTAACAAGGGAAGGAAAAAGAGGGAATGGAGAAAGAAAGGTAACAAGGAGAAGGAAAAGCGAGGGAAAGGAGAAGGAAAAGAGAAAGAAAGGTAAAAGAGAAGAAAAGAAGGAGGGAAGTTGAGAAAGAAAAGAGAAAGAAAGGTAACAAGGGGAAGGAAAAAAGAGGGAATGGAGAAAGAAAGGTAACAAGGAGAAGGAAAAGAGAGGGAAAGGAGAAAGAAAAGAGAAAGAAAGGTAGCAAGGAGAAGGAAAAGAGAGGGAATGGAGAAAGAAAAGAGAAAGAAAGGAAAAGAGGGGGAATGGAGAAAGAAAAGAGAAAGAAAGGTAACAAGGAGAAAGAAAAGAGAAAGAAAGGTAAGAAGGAGAAGGAAAAGAGAGGGAATGGAGAAAGAAAAGAGAAAGAAATGTAACAAGGCGAAGGAAAAGAGAGGGAATGGAGAAAGAAAAGAGAAAGAAAGGTAACAAGGAGAAGGAAAAGAGAGGGAATGGAGAAAGAAAGGTAACAAGGAGAAGGAAAAGAGAGGCAATGGAGAAAGAAAGGTAACAAGGAGAAAGAAAAGGGGGAATGGAGAAAGAAAAGAGAAAGAAAGGTAATAAGGAGAAGGAAAAAGAGAGGGAAAGGAGAAAGAAAAGAGAAAGAAAGGTAGCAAGGAGAAGGAAAAGAAAGGGAAGGAGAAGAAAAGAGAAGAAAGTAAAGGGAAGGAGAGAGAGGGAATGGAGAAAGAAAAGAGAAGAAATGTAACAAGGCGAAGGAAAAGAGAGGGAATGGGAGAAGAAAAGAGAAAAAGGTACCAGGAGAAAGAAAAGAGAAAAGAAGGGCAACAGGAGAAAGGAAAAGAGAGGGAATGGAGAAAGAAAGAGAAAGAAAGGTAACAAGGAGAAGGAAAAGAGAGGGAAAGGAGAAAGAAAGGTAACAAGGAGAAGGAAAAGGGGGAATGGAGAAAGAAAAGAGAAAGAAAGGTAACAAGGCCAGAGAGGAAAAGACGAGGGAAAGGAGAAAGAGAGAAGAAGGGTGCAAGGAGAAGGAAAAGAAAAGGGATGGAGAAAGAAAAGAGAAAGAAAGGAAACAAGGAGAAGGAAAATAGAGGGAATGGAGAAAGACAAGGTAAACAAGGAGTAAGGTGAAAAGGAAAAGAGATGGAAATGGAGAAGGAAAGAGAAAGAAAGGTAACAATGGTAAGGAAAAAAGAGGGAATGGAGAAAGAAAAAAGAAAAGAAAGGTTAAGAGGGAGAGGAAAAGAGAGGGATGGAGAAAGAAAGAGAAAGAAAGGTAAGAAGGAGAAGGAAAGAAGGATATATGGAGAAAGAAAGAGAAAGAAAGCGGGGGATGCGATCATGTGGGAGCATGAAGTGTAGGAGCCTGAGTTGAAGTATATACTGAATGCGATAAAGTTACACCCGCGTAGCCAGAGATGGCGCCGAAGTCGAACCAGCTGGGTGTATATTATATATATATATATAATATTTACTATATATATATAGTAATATTATGTTATATATTATATAATCATACATACATACATGTATATATATTATATAATATATATATATATATATATATATATATATTATATATATATCATATATATATATATATATGATATATTATAATATATATATATATATATATATATATATATATATATATGTAATATATGTATATATATGGTGTGTGTGTGT